ATGCCAATCTCCTACGAGCCGGGTTGAGGATGTCTTGAATCAGCTCTCGGGACTGTTTGGATCCCGATAAAGCAGTCGTTCCTCCATGATCCGGACCATACACGAATTCGGATATGGCATCAAAGGAGAAGTAATGTAAACTCGTAAAGATCTCCTTCCCGAGGCCGGGCTCTCGTTCCAAAAGTGACAGAAACCCTGTCACTTTCCTCTTGACCAGCTGTGCGGCATCAAAGCCAAGCACGCTCTGGTTTGCGTAGATGTGGCTAATCAGTTTTTTTCGTTCACGATGCTGCTTTCCTGAAGCAAACGTGAAGAGGTTTGGGCGGCCATAAACATCAAACATTTGATAGAAGGAAGTCCGCTCAAAGCCACTGCCGGCACCATATATCGTCCGCAGCGCAGACAGACTATTGAAGGAGACCTCATTCGGTCCAATTCGCACAACAGGTCCGTACTTTTGGTGTAGCTCGTTCACGGTATGTATAGAGCGTGCTTGCCGGGCATCGAAAGCCAGCCTGAATCTTGTTGCTGCATACAGCCATGGACCGGGGACTCTTCTCAGCTTCGCAGAATGTAAGAAGGAACCGGAGGCGATGCATAGCATTAAACCAAGCACAACCCAGATTCCAATGGGGGCTCCAAGTGTTGTCAATCCTGCACTTCAGCCTCAATATTGACTCTGGGGCTGGGAGCCAGGAACTTCGGTTCACTCACCTTCCGTCAACATGGTTGGTGCTCTCGCTACCCCCTTCGGTACGAAACGATGTTGCCCTTGCAGCCGAAATCAATGAAACCACTTCCATCTATTAAGAAACAGTTGAACAGCCTGACGAGCCAACAAGGTCCAAAGCTAGCGGGCTTGTCCGGGGCCAAAAGCTTCTTGTCGACGGGCGAGGGCCGCAGCATTAATGGTTTTCATTGGCCCAAATAGCCCTAGGCATGGAGCTTGAAGCGGCCGATCTTCTTTTCTATCGCAGCTATCCGACCGTGATCCTTTCCATGGGTGAGACCTGTCACGTATCCGACCTCTCGTACTCGTGCCCAGATAATTGACCGCGCAGTCCTCGCGGGGAAAGGCCAAGAAAAAGGTGCGATGGGTCTGGAAGGATGGATTTGTGCGCTCGATGCAAGCCACAATCTGTTATCTCGAATGCTGGGACTCTTTGAAACGGTCGAGAACAGTGACGCACATGTCCATATCCGCCCCCGAAGATTGCAGCGTGGCACGATCTGCAAGGCTGCTGATCTCAACACGGAAGGAGGAGGTGATAATGCTGTCTCAGCACATGCTGACAATTTCTTCTCTGAGCATGGAATGTATTTGAGTTCGGAAACCGTGGGGTGATAGAGATATCGAGCCAACTTCTCTATGGCCACGGGCACTGTCCCTGAGATAGTGACTCCAGGATCACGTCCTTCGCCTATCAGACCAGTCTCAGACCAGTCTCTCTAGGTTGCTCACACACATCTGCCGACGCTTCTCCAAGGACGAACCGGCTTGCTCCTGGTCACAATAGCGAGCGTGCCAAAATTATCTCGGTCTGTCCATCACAGCGGAACCTGCTACCAACAGTGTGGTCTTGGGCACGTGGCGACCCTGAAACTGCAGGGGAGGTAGAAGGAACCCAGTGTCAATGCAGCATCAGCAGTCTCGTGGTCGACTCGGATCTCGCTTCGAGAGGAACGTTTTCTGGAATATGCAACCTCATCGACGGTGGATTCTCGGGGTCCTTACCCCAACCAATACTCAGGCCGGTGGCCTCGATGGCAAACACGAGGGTATTCCGGTGCGACGTGGTGGCTTCTACTAGAAGGTTTCCAATTAGGCCAAGACATCCGTACACAAGCTCTTTTAGCGGGAGGAGGCAAGACTGCACAAGAAGGACTGGTGGAAGCCAGTTGTCGATCAGATTTCTGGAGAGGTTGGGTGGACGAGAATGCCTTTCAGCCGTGCTTATCGTCAGAGCCCCAACGCACTTCAACGCCTGAAGCACGATATTGCATCCCATCTGCACAAGAGACACGGGTGGCCCGATTAAGGGAGAAGGTTGGAGAGAATGGGCTCTGCCACATTCTGCGCAGGAGACACGACTCGACGAGCATGGTAGCGGCAACGGGCGTCGACGGCGGGTGGCCAAGGCAAAAACCAACTGAGGGGGGGATTTGCAGCCAAGACGCCAGAGCGCAGTCTTACATCTCGCCTTCGACTTCCCCTTCCCACTCTCCGTTATCAACAACCACTGACAGACGAGCGTTGGGTCTTGATCCTAATCCATTCCAGGGCAGTCAGCTCGAAGCCTTATCCCTGGCACTGCTACCAAAATGCCTCTGCTGCTATCACTACCTCAGATGATCCTGTCGAGTTATAAAGAGGTCGACCAGACCCTCCTCCCCGGCCATGCACCGCCCTCTCCCCCCTTCTTCCCCTCCATCTCTTCTGGCTTCTCACTACAACAAGAGGCCATCGCTTCGTGACAAGGGCCTCTTTGAACCTTTATCAACCGGAAGCCTCAGTGCCGGGTAGGCAAGAACCTTGACGTGGGTATGGCGGACAACGTCGAGTACGACCCTGAAAAGGGCATTGAACCAGTCAAAGGCCGAGGTATCGTCGATGAAAAAGGCCGCAATGCCTCCTTGACCGGACGAAAGTCGTCTGTCGTTGAGTCAATTATTGCAGCCGACTTGCTCGATGAACGATATGCCACCACTCACCGTGGCCTCAAGAGCAGACATGCTCAAATGATTGCTCTAGGTGGAACTATTGGTACTGGGTATGTTGGACTTCTGGCAATTCTCTCTCTACTGCAGAGGTCGTGGGCTGACTGATACCACCTCCAACAGTCTCTTTGTCGGTTCCGGTGCAACGCTGGCTCTCGGTGGTCCTGCCTTCATATTGGCGGCCTATGTCATCATGACCTTTCTGGTATATTGCGTCGTTACCGCCATCACCGAAGTGGCCGCCTACCTCCCCGTCCACGGTGGAACCATGTCTTATTACGGCTACCGATACGTTTCTCGCTCCATGGGCTTTGCGCTGGGTTACCTCTACTGGTACGCCCTGGGTATCCTCGTCCCGTACGAAATTACCGCTGCCGGTCTGGTCATCGACTACTGGCCCAACAATGTCAATATTGCTGTCTGGATGACAATCATGCTGGTCGTCATCATCGCTCTCAACTTCCTCCCTGTCAGATTCTATGGCGAGACGGAGTTCTGGTTCGCCGGGACCAAAGTCATCTTGATGGTTGGGCTCCTCATCCTCAGTTTCATCCTCTTCTGGGGTGGCGGACCTAGCCACGATCGTCTAGGTTTTAGATACTGGCACGATCCTGGCGCAGCACATCCCTACATCGTGGGAGGCGACACAGGCCGCTTTGTCTCCTTCTGGGAAACCTTGGTCCTGTCTGTCTTCCCCTTCACCTTTGCTCCCGAACTCTTGGTCGTGACGGGCGGGGAAATGGAATCACCACGACGCAACCTACCCCTTGCCTCCAAGCGGTATTTTTACCGCCTGGTGATCTTTTACGTCCTCAGTGTCTTGGCCATTGGTCTGACCTGCCCCAGCGATGACACCCGCTTGACTGACGGCGGGGCTGGTGCCAAATCTTCGCCATTCGTCGTCGCCGTCGCCAATGCCGGGATAGGCACCCTCCCGTCCATCGTCAACGCTGTGATTCTTATCTCGGCCTGGTCGTCCGGCAACTCCTTCCTCTATATCTCCTCACGCGCGCTTTATTCGCTTGCGGTCCAAGGCTCCGCTCCGCGAGTCTTCAAAGCCTGCAATCGATGGGGTGTCCCTTACATGGCGGTCGGCTGTTCGTCACTATTCTGCGCTCTTGCATACCTCAACGTCGCCTCCAATGGCTCTACGGTCTTCAACTGGTTTGTCAATCTCACAAACACGTGGGGTATGACGAGCTGGGTATGTTGTATGATTGTCTTTCTCCGCTTTCGAAAGGCCTGCAAGGCGCAAGGGATCGAGCCCATATATCGCAACTGGCTTCAACCTTGGGGAGCCTATATCGCCATGGTGGCATTCACAATCCTCTGCCTTATCAACGGCTTTACCGTTTTCTTCCCCAGCAAGTGGTCGGCGTCTTCATTCTTGACTGCTTACATCGGAATCCCCATCTTCTTCGTCATGTACATCGGGCATCGGATTGTGTTCTGGGGCGACAAGTGGGCGTGGGACCCGATGGAGGTGGACATGCACACGGGCTTGCAGGAGGTCATCGACGCCGAGAAGCCACTGAAGAAGAGGAAAGGACTCGCCAGGATCTGCATGATTATCGAATAGAACGCAGCGCCGTGTCGTGGAATTTTAAAGCGAGCACGTGGATAGATTGAGAACTTTGTGTGTATAGTGTATACTTGAACGACCCTTGTGCCACATTCACATTCCCTTGAGACATGTTCACTCCTTCTCTTTTCCCCCAAGATCGCCCACCCCTTTCACAGTGCAGATCATCCAGATCACTTTCTACATCGTAGAGTATATATACACAATATATAATTCGCAATCCTAACAACAGCAAAAGAGAACACCCGTGATCCTACCACACCATACGTACGTGCCTCGCAAGGATCTCGCAAATACCTCGACTAATATAACTTGAGTATTTTTGTTTCTCACCAGATCGGGAGAAGCTACATTCGTGCTAACCGTGGGTTTACCACTCACTGTATATGGGCTCATCGCGATTCTTCCGTTTTGGAAAGCCTCGGCCTTAAACTGGATTTTTCAAGCTGTGCATGAAAATTTTTGCCATGTACGTTATCCTATCAACAGTATCCATTCCTTGGGTATATAACAGAGCTCATCATCCCGAATACCCAGACCCCACGCTTGAAAGCACCAACTTCGCCCTGCGAGACCTGCCAAACCCGACTCATCTTAGTGGCATGATCAGCGAAGATCAGCGCGCTGAGATGTGAAGCAGTCATCAACATATCTTCGATACAGCTGCCACCATGACCATCGTGCTGGAGAACCCCGAGCATCAAGACCCGATCCCAACTTCTCTGCGCACCACAGCCGCCAGCCCACCAAATCCTTCCTTCTTCAACCTCTCACTAAGAAGGAGGCCCTTCTCCCACTTCTTTCCCTTGATCTGGCCCTCTATCTCCGCCATTTGGCTTGCTAGCATCTTCCGACTATCGTCAAGATTCAAAGCGATGAACTCTCCTTCATACTTTTTGAGTTTGACCAGCTGCGCTTCCAATTCTGCTATGGACGCGTCCAGCGCAGCAGCTTGAGCTTCAGTCTCGTCCGAGCATGTAACAGTCTTCGTAGGAGATGCAGTTGGGGCGGAAGACGACGGAGTGCCAAAACTGCCGTTGGAAGTGTGCTGTGGGAGGTACATGCCGTTGGTAGCAGGAGGATGTCCAAGCATCGGTGGAAGAGTATTGTTCTGCATGTTAGATGTTATACGACTCGAGCCGATCGCTGCCGAGGCAAGAGATGCAATGCCAGGCGAGCTACTCACTCGGGAATGCCTCTCATCGGTGGGACTGACCATGTCGGGGAATGTCTTCATACTCGGTAGTAGTGCGGGCCGCGTCCCGTTGACGCCTCCGAAAGGCCCATCCGTCAAAAACTCGGAGCCTTCTCTCGAAAACGCCAGCCTGCTACCGGAGAAGTCAGGTTCGGGTGTTGGTAACTCCATCTTTCTCAGCGGGGTCGCTGGTCCAGGATCTGCCGAAGTAGATATTGCCCGCTTCTTGCCTGTGATCTGGGCGACGCTGGGCAAATTTCCGGCCCCAAAGCCACTGTGGCTGGATTCTCGCCGCCCTCCACGCTTTTGATCAAATACATTGTCTGCGAAGCCCATGACCTTCCCACGAGGGTCGGCAGCTTTCACTCTTCGCTTACTCGCAGGCTTTTCGCTTTTGACGTACGCTGTCACAAAATGGCAACATCGACAGTTGCAAGTTTCTGTGCACTTGGGACAAGTCCACAGCTCCTTGTGCCGCAAAACTTCCGAGGGATACTCATCAAAATGTCGGAACAAGCCTCGATAACAGAAAAAGGCAGTACACTTGTCGCAACGCCGCCCTTTCCATTCTTGGTGATCGATCCGGCAGAGATGGCACAGTCTACTGGTGGTTGAGGTTTTGGCGCGCATCAGATCATTGACCGCCGTCCCCAAGGTCTTGCGCTTGTCGAGTGTGCGCGGCTCTTCTGGCTGGAATCCTAGAATCTCCCGAGCCCGATTGAGAACCCTCGTGCATTGTTCCGCTGACACCAGCTCTGCCCATGCGTAGGATTGGGAATGATCGCAAGATCGGCCATTGAGATAACAAAGGAGACAGAGATCGAAATCGACACATTGAGTACATCGCACGTGCCGATTCCAGATAGCCGTGCTGCAAAAGTTACAAGTCGCAATTGTCCCTTGCTGAATGGGCACCAAAGTCACTGGTGTGACAGGATCAGAGTCGATTATGGATTCGTCATGGACCATTTGACGAAACAAGCGAGAGAGGAGAGGTAGATCTGGCGGAAGCGGAAGTGGAGAGCTCCTCACTGTCTGGTTGTCCTGGACCAGAGATAGCATAGCACATGCCAGGGAGAGGCTGGTTCGAGCCACATCAGGATGGCAGAGGCGGTTGAAAGGTGCTTGGACGTATTCAAATCCCACCTCAAGTGATAGCGGATGTAGGATGTTCCAGACAAGCTTGGCCGAAAGCGTGGCAGGATTCCAGATCTGGTGGGCCGTGGCAGGAGGGAAGACGACAAGGTCGCCGACTCGTTGATCGTAGGCATACAGGGGGAAGTCGGCTTTCAAGAGCTCCTCCGACCCCAGGTTTAGCCAGTCTAAATGGGGCGACGCGCCACGAGAAGATATGAAGGCGTCATATTTCTTCTGCGAGTCAAAGTCAGTGCCAATGCACACCACAGGACGGTCGTCCGACTCGACAAGTAAGTTCAAGGCGACCGTGCTCGAGAAGCATCGATGGAACCCTGAGCTGCTCCCTTCGCTTCCAACGTAGGCCATCATGACTTCACTCCTCGCACACTGTGGCAGCCACTGGAAGAGGTCCAACCGCCCGCCCCATTGAACCTCTGTGGGCAAGATCCGACGACATTGTTCGAGCCATTCATGCGGACATTGTAAGTCTCTGGCGTAGAGGTTCTGGAATTCGGGAAATGACTGCCTGGCGCTGTCGGCAAACTTCTTGAGCGTGAACGACAGGTCCCGACCAGTACTGCAATTTCGGATGGGAATGTTTTTCTTGGTGCTCAGTTCGATCAGCCTTTCGATGCTGAAACTCGGCTGGTCGCCATTCTGAGGATCCGAGCCTGGCCAAGTGTCGAGTTTGTCAAATTCGGCAATGACAAAAGGCTGTCCTAGTTGGAGGCGTCTGGTAAGCCACTCAGAGAAGGGAAGAGGGTTGCCGTTCTGGTCTTTCTCTGCCTGTAGAGAGAGGATGCTGAAACGGGGAAACTCGACGAAGGGCTTCCCGAGCTGCAACAGCTGCTGCGCAGAACTATCTGGAGGGACAGTCAGCGAAGGAGTCTGTGGAATCATGCCGATGCCGGAGATCAGGTGACTGTCATCGCGAGAGGTACTAGAAGATGTCGCAGAGGACGAGTAGAGAGGGAGGTGTGAGATTAAAAGAACGGCGAGGAAACCTGATGAGCTTGATGTTTGCTTTCCTTATGGACAGGGTGGTGGTGGCCGAGGGCTGTACGTAAATGAAGCTGCAAGCGGAGGAGTAACGCGATGATCGAAGATGGGATGAGATGGAAATGGGATGCGATGAGCGAAGAAAGTGCGGAGGGGCAGAGGCGCTTAAGCAGATCTCCGCTAGCTCGGCCTGTTCGTTACAGCAGAACCAGGTTCCGAGGCGTGCTAGGTAAGCGGATGGCGACTTCCGTCAGGGTAGCACCGCCTGTGTCCGGCAATCATTGGCGCCCAGAAAGAGCCTAAAGATTCCCCCAGGGTTACTAAGACAGATGTTTGCCCCCCAATAGCGCCCCCATATCCCTTAGGGGCACCCGGAGGGGGTGTTTGCATAGTTGGATTCAGGGTCTTTGGGCTTTTTAGGCTCTTTCCTCTACGCCCGTCATGCTCTGAGTGTCTGGCTAGTACCCAACAAACTACTCGGACTTGGATTGAGCATTTCCATCTCCACCTGCGCACCTGCGCCTCTCTGTTCTTCACCTCCATCACCAACACCCTCATGCACCCTCCTCAGAACCAGCTCCTCGATGAAGAACAAACCAAACAGGCAGGTCAAAGCCGCCGTATCCACAATAAATCTCTGCCATGCCCTCGCTATCGACGACTTTCAGCCACTTGCCCCAACAGAATCCTTGTGCCTAGATGGCTCATCCCGAAGAGACGTCGAATCTCCGCTCCCATTTCGGGTTGGTGAGCGACACAAGCCAAACAGCCACCTTCGTAAGAGGCCGTCGAGGATCTCTTCACACCGATTACTCAATTTGTTTTTCTGTCGGTGGGGGCTGCGCCCTTAGTTGCTCGAAGGCCAATCCCTCACAGTCCCCTTCATGCACACCGTCCCATCGTTACTCACCACCCTCGTCTCTGCCTCCCTCTTTCCCACCGCCTCCTGGTTCATCATCACCCGGTAAGGCTCCCTGCCGTATACAGGGCTCGTAGCGCGATACTCGATCATCTGGGGATAATGTACACCCCGCCCTCGGACAACACTGGCCTCGTCTCGCCAAAGATCCAACATGGCGAGTAGATTCATCGGACCGTGGACGACCACGTTCCTGTGACCCTCCACATCTGTTGCCCAAGGCTTGTCGTAGTGAATTCTATGCGCGTTGAACGTCAACGCCGAGAATCGGAATAGCGTTGCTTCATCGCGACTATATTCCCGCCAGAGTTTCCCCTCGACGCTCTTGTCGAGCTCCCCCTGTGACAATTCCTTGGGCTTGGGAACCAGTGGAGCAGGTTTGGAAGGGTCGAGGGCGACCCGGAAAACCCAATTTCTCCGGTCCAGGACGCACAGTTCATCTTTCCCATTGCGGAATTCCTTCTCCACGCCCACGAGCAACATGCTCTCCCCCGTCTTGCCAATGACCTTGGGCTCGCAGCTCAAGACCTTGGTGACCTCGGTGACGGTATCACCCACCACCAAGAGCGCCTGGTTCTTTGAGCTGCGATCAGCACCGGGCCAGTGACATGATCCGCCAGCCCACATGCGTCTCGTGAAGGGAGCGTCGGGGTTGAAACTCGCGTCCGTGCCATCGAGCCCCAATATTCCCGGTAGTTGAGCTGGCGTAAAGTAGCATATGTGATAAGCTGGGGGGATCGGAGTGCCCTCGACAGGCTCCGCCTCCTCGAGCGTTTTGGTAGAGCTAGTCGGCCACAGATGAGGTCGGTTCAGAGTGAGAGAGAAGAGGCGGATCTGATTCGCATCCAGCAGCTGACGGCGCACGAACGTCTGTCCCTTGGAGAACTTGGACAGAAAAGCTTCAGTTATGGCCTTTGGGTCCGCTGGCGGTGTGCTCAGTCTCGTCCGAGACGAAGAGAAGCTTCGCGAGGTGGTTGTTCCGAGGCGGGCACCGCTGCCCGTCGCTACCGATGCGAAGCAGCAGCGAGAACACGAGCGAAAAGGGACAGTCATTGTATCCGTCCTTCTTGAGAAATACTGCGCAAGAATGCTCGAGCTTCAATTGCCAATTAGTGATCCACACCCGTGTTGTGACAATAAGTTTGTTTTCTTCAAGTTTGGTCAGGACTTCAGGAGTTGAGTTGCCGAAGAACGACAGATGAAGATTTCGGGTCCGGCTCCCCGCATAATGACCATCTCCGAGATCGGGCAGCGGCAGTCGGTCTCATACCCTGCGTTTCGAGACGCACGGTTCCGAGATTGGCCGGCCCTCATAATATCGGAGAAATCCTACAACCTGCAAAGGCTCGTGCAAGATATTGGAGTCCAGATCATATTAGTCGTATATGTATATGCGTTATTTACAGCCTCCCTGATCCGTTTTCCACCAAACTCATCTATTTATGTACCTCGGACGCCAGCAAATGCAAGATTCTCCAATAACAACAATGAAATATCGTCAGACAATCCCCTCATTACTTTCTTCACCTCTTCTCAACAAGCAGGAAATGCATGGCTATGTATGCGATGATGATGAATGCTCCTGCAAAGACGCCCAGGCCAATGACATCGTTCCACAGTGCCAGATTGTCGAACCCAAAGGCGCTGAGAATGCTAGCTCCGGGTACCTCGATGTCCAGGCCATACCGGTGGTCTTTGAGACGCAGCTTTGCGACCTCGTTTACGATTAGAGCCTCGTAGCCGTAGTGGAAGATGGATAACTGTGTCGACGGTTAGCACAACCACCACCAAGGATCATGACCGATACTTACCATCTGCAGCCACTGTGCTGCTTTTTGGATGCTATCATGGTTGAGATTGAGGAGCAAGCCAGCAAACAACAAACTGAACAGCATCACCAAGCTACCAATCAAGTTGGCGACAGCGGGATCTTTGAACACGATACCAATCGTCAAGCAGATTGCCGCCGCAGCCAAGTTAAAGAGCACCAATATTAGTATAAAGGTGAAGAAAACGCCCCACTTCGGGAGAAGTCCAGACATTGGATAGATGATGATGCCCATGATGATAGGTGGGATGAGTCGGAGCGGTACAATGTCGAAGAGCAGCTTCGCAGCATAGTAAGTGATCGGGGAGTAGTATCCATTGGCACGTTCTCGAACGAAGATCAACCGCTCTGCGCTGAAGACGTTCAAGCTTGTCAGGCCGCTGAAACCGAACAATGCCAGCAGGAAGAAGAAGAGACCTAGTCGATTTTGGAACCCGCCAATGTCATCTGTGACGCCGTAAAAGAGCCATCCTGACAATACCGCCAGCAGAATAGCAACAGCATAGTGCGTCAGCATCAGGATAGGGTTGCGATACAGGTTCCGCCAAGTCCGCCTGGATAGGATCAAAAATTGTCGTGGAAGGCTGACTCGCCGGAAGCCTTTAATCGAGCCTGTCACGGGCTCGGTCACAGCGTCTTCTCCACCGTGGCCATTTGCCGCCGATGCAGCTTGGATTGAAGCTGTGATTTCGTCGTGGATCGTCTGAGCGACATCTGAGTTCTTGAAACTGGTCACCAGAATGTCGAGGTCGGTGTTGGCGTCTGGTGGTATGTCGTCAGGATCCTCCAAAAGGGGTGGCGGGTTCGACCCATCTCTCTTCGACAGGGGTAGCCAGCTCCGCATGCTGCCAGTTGCCCTTCCCATTATAGTGTCTTCATCATCAGTCTTTGGTGTTGGCGGAGTTTCGCTCCCAGAAGCCTTCTTTCGAGTAAACAATTGCCGGTCCTGCTTTTGTTTCAGGGATATCCTCCTCTTTGGTTTTATTCGAGTCGAGGGTTCGCGTGGGCTTTCCATGCTCACGTTTGAAACACTTGCAATGGACTTCACAGCCCGCGTGCTGCTTGATTCCGTCCCCGGGATGTCTCGGTCGAGCAAATCCTTCGGAACGTCCTCGAATATGGGAGAACGTGGAATACTGGCGTGCATTGTCAGGTCCACCAGATAGTCCGCGATATTGAAACCCGGCGGACAGGAGTAACCAATATGATCAAAATATGATTGACAGCTTGAAAAGGGACCAGAGTAGACGGTTTGACCTTTGGCAAGAAGAATGAGCTGGTCGAAAAGAGCCACGATGTTGGAGCGAGGTTGATGAATGGTGAAAATGACGGTCCGGTTGTATGTTTTGGCCAACGTGACCAGACATTCAACTACGTTAAAAGCGTTGAAGGCGTCGAGTCCGCTGGTTGGCTCATCGAGGAAGAGAATACTTGGGCTTGTCACAAGCTCGCAAGCAATACCAACCCGTCGCTTTTCGCCACCGGAAATACCTCGACCATTTCCTTCCTCCGAGCCAATCACTTGGTCTTTGATGTGATAAATGCCGAGTTGCTGCATAACTTCGATAACTCGCTGCTCCTTGACAGAAATGCCCATGTCAGCTGGTAGTCGTAGGAGAGCACTGGTGGAAATGGTCTCATGAACGGTCAGAGTTGGCAAAAGGGTGTCCTCCTGGTCGACATAGCCCACCACGTTTCGGTATTCCCCGTCGAGAATCTTCTCGCCATTGACATACATATGGCCCAAGACAGTCCCACGTTTGTTTTTGCGAGCCAGAATATCGAGAAACGTAGACTTGCCTGCGCCGGACGCACCCATGATGGCTGTGAGTTGACCTGGGTGGCAATGCCAGAGATGCCAGAGAGGATTTCCTTTCCTTTCAGACCATAAGAGACGTTCTCAAATTGTAAAGACATCGGGGTGTGGTTAATCATCGATAGCGAGGCATCATTTTCACCATTTTCACCTAGTCGAATGGCTCCCCATCGCTTGAGCGCTGCTCTTCTCGAGAGGTACCACGATATGAGTGTGACGGCAACGACAAAGAGGGCGCAACCGGCGATGATTCCTGCAATCAAAGGGGTGTTGATCTCTTTGATAGGTCTTGTATATCCAGGCACCTCCGTCTCATACAGGCATTCGCCTGCCCGACACTGAAGTGAGATATACTCATCGCCGAATATCATAGATATCAAGTTGTTCATGGCCGGCTCTTCGAAACGACTGCCGTCCTTAGAGCTACCGCCATAGGTATGCTGCGAGTAGAAGGAAGCTGGGCCCTTGATCTCTTGCTCCAAGAACTCGTCGATGTTGACGGAGCCATCTTCGCCACACAAGAACCGATCTGGTATGCAAGAGCACTTTATGTTTTGACATTGATATTTTGTCGTATTGCGAACATTTGTGTCTTGATATGTGGAAGTGCAATTGTCGAGAGCACAGTAGAACGATTCCTTTTGATCAACCCAGAACTGGAAGTTGCAGGTAGCGTCTTCAGCGTTGCAGGAGAAGGTAACCTCTGGTATGCGCGGATCGATCTGGTCCAGAATGGCATTGTTGGTAACATTGCACACCTGGTAGTTTTCGTGGACCAAAGCACCTTTTTTATAACAAACCCCACCCTGGCCCAGTGGCATCATTGCGTTACATGCCTCATTGGAAGTGCACACGTTGCAGTTGATTCCCTCCCAACCATCTCTGCAGTCGCACTTATCGCCTCTTCTTGGTGATCTATTCTTGCCATCGACCAGGGAACCGCACAGCGGCTCCGCGCAGTCATCTCCCCCGAAGCCAGGAGGACACACGCATTTTCCGTTGGCACTGCTGCAGCTCGCAAATTGTAGGCATTTGAATTCGTCGTAGTGGCAGTCGAAGCATCGAGGACATGGAGGGCAACCATCGACGAGATCGAGGAAGGGATCTTGCATCAATGCCCGCGAAGTATCATTGGGATAGGCCGTCGCCAGCAATGCCGGTGCGACGAGTAATAGGGCGGCGGCAATGCCATGGAGGTTCATTGAGGATGGACTGGGCGATATCGTCCGCTGTGCAGGTGTGGAGGTGATAGACCGTGTGGCTGGTGCCTGTCAACGGAAGCTTGTCCAGTCAAGGCGGCAGAAACCTCGAGGGTAGAAAGTTAGGTAGGGCGACAGTCGGTACAAGAATGATAGGAGGGACATGCGACAGAGGATGTAGGATGGGAGTCGAAGGATATCACACCATTGCAGTTCGCCGCGGGAAGGGGAGGGATCTGAACTGGAAAGGTCCAAACGTCGCAGCACAACACAAGTTGCAACAGCACGATGCACAACTGCTGGCACGTTCCTGTACGGTACGGGCGGGGACGGGAGACCTGATACCGGGGATTGGCCTTTGAGCACAGGACCAATGGGCCGAGCTTTATCCAGTTAAGGACGGCTGTAAGCTTGCACCCAATCGTTGTAATCGTGAGCTACCGGCAGTTATTGGCACTCGTGGCATCATCCAGTCCGGGGGCTAAGACTAAGGTACCATTAGGTACCGAGTAGTCAGCTAGTCAATTAAGGTACGAGATACGAGGTCGGGGCATAGTGTTGGAGATGTCACATATGCACTTGGTCAAGGTGGGGGAGCAGTTGACTATGTACTCGGCGGATCGGTATTTCCGCGACACCGCAGTTGGAAATGAAAAGACTTCAGTCGTGCAGAGCAGTCTTTTCAGACATTTGTTCTTACGGCACCGTCATCTAATCATTCTCAATCGAGTACGCACACGGTTTGTGTCGTTCCAACAGGAAGCATGGCCGGGTTTCAGCGGCTTGAAGCCATCGAGGTAGGACTTACCAGCAGTTCGTCGAACAATGCTCTCACTGACAACGTGAACAGTGGAACGAAAAGTATCTGTCATCAGCCAAACACGACCTTTCATCATCGGCCGCCTCAAACATCTCCTTGTCTGAACTACTTGACATCTCAGAGGACAGACCGGGTTCCGAAAAGGCCCTGAAACTGCATGAAGTAAAGCTCCAAGGAAACGATACTGGCTTGGGCAGCATTCATCTACGGAAAAACCTGGCAGCCCTCTACTCTGTGCGCTCTGCGGGGGTGACCGAACACGATATTATAATTACCAACGGAGGCACTGCTGCAGACTATACAGTATTCTCCGCGTTGCTGACCTCTGGGGATCATGTCATTTGCCAACACCCTGTTGATGAACTGCTCTATAAGATACCTGCATCTCTGGGCGTGGGCGTCACTTGGTGGAACGCAGACCCAGCGAAAAAGTGGGCGGTTGATATTGACGAGTTAAAGACATTGATCAGGGACAATACAAAATTGATTGCGATCCAAAGTCCTTGTGACCCTACAGGTGCTATAGTGTCCAAACCCACTCTCGAGGCCCTCGTTGAATTGGCAGAGGAAAAGGGAATAACTATTCTGGCGGATGAGACCTACAGGCCTCTTTTCCACTCGATATTGCCATCCGACGATGATTTTCCACCCTCAACGATCAACCTGGGCTATAAGAAAGTCGTCGTGACAGGAGGGGTAAGTAAAGCATACGGTTTAGCAGGAATAAAAGCCGGGTGGATTGCCACGAAAGACAGAGCCATTCTCGAAGCCTGTAGGGGAACTAGGCGTCTTGAGTCCACAATTGCATCAACTTTAGATGAGGTGGTTGCTGCAGAGGCCCTGAATGAGAGGTGCATTCACGCGTTGTTAGCAAGAAACATCAGGTTATGCCAAACAAACCTGGGCCTGCTGCAAGGATTTGTCGAAGAGCACAACTGGTCATGTTCATGGGTCGAGCCACGAGCTGGAACAACAGTAATGCTCAAGTTCCACAAGATGGGAAAGCCCATCGACAGTGAGCAGTTTTGTTCAAAGTTACTCGAAGAGTCTGGGATCCTTCTCTGTCCCGCAAGCAAATGTTTCGGAGACAGTAGAGCTCTTCGCGGGTATGTGAGGGTCGCTTTCGGAGGCTCGACGCAGGAGGTGAAAGCTGCACTTGCGGCGTGGAGGTCATTCATGGAAGAAAGCTTCGACTCGGTACCGACACTGTCGACTCGGTCAAACAGCTAATCCAAGAGCGGCTCGAGGCAAAATAAAGTCCGATAAAAGCGCACCATGCACAAGTATCAGCGGGAAATCGAGTAGATCCATTCCAAGATTGAGAGTCAGAGATGCCTTCATCGCGTCCGTAAAATGTAACAAGATGGGTGTGCCGAACGCCGATCTCATTGTTTTCTGACCACTTCGAACAGCATGCCACTTGAGCTCCGAAGAGAGGGCTTGCTGCCGCCTGCAGCAGAAACAAATCGTATAATACACGCTAGGCTTTCATCATCTGAGGCGTTGTTAGGATATATACTTGTCAAAGCGCGGATCAAAGGAACTCACTTGTTCAAAACTTGGAAGGATGAAGAAGGAAAAGAAAACAGAGTGCGACTCGGAGACTTTTGTGCGCAGGCAGCGGTTGGAGGTTGGCGCACACGGACCATCAGCGCAGGTTCTCCAACTCAAATCCTTCTTTTGGATTGTCCACATCAATGGGTCTTTGAAAGTGCAGCAGCAGCCGATGGAGGTCCAGAGATCACTTACACGTTCAGCTCACCTCCGACGGAGCTACATTGAGATATCGAGATATATTCGTACTCGTTTGTGGTGCGCAGGCTTCCCGTCCAGCCAACGCGCCATCACCAGCCCATGTCTTTCTCAGAGACTTGCATATTCTACGTCTTCCGCCCGACGTGACCGGCAACAAGATCCAAGACTGCAGACCAGTAACGGCGATATCAGGCGATACAACTTCTCCAGTAAGACAGTGCCTCACCAGCGATTTGGCCAGCGTCTAACTGTAACAGGGATCTCTTCTTCCAAAGAAGCCAGTCAAGCCTGGAAAAAACTATGCCAGACCGACGTCGATTCATTACCGAGTACGCCTGCTCCTGATGATGACAGTCAGAACCAAGTGCAACTATATGGCTATATTACTTCTCACAGGCCTAGCAAGGGCTTCGATTTCATCCAACTGGTTGATCCACGCTTAGAGCTTGCCGTGCAAGTCATCTTCCCCCATTCTGTTTCCACTGCGAAGGTCGGAGAAAGTCCCTCGGTGGAAAGTCACATAGACGCCGAGGAGTCTAGTGAAGAAAGAGAATCAAGTGATGGAGAAGTCTCCGAAGGACAGTTGAGCATTTTCAGAGCCGCTCGTCCTCATACACCCATTCGGATCTCGGGGACCGTTGTGCCACGATTGAAACGACCCAAAAAGGTACACAAGCGGGTTCCCTCGGGAGAGTCTGCAACGCCACAAAAGAAAAAGCCAGATACTACTGTCCGAACGCTAGACCCCTATGTTGGAGACATCGACCTCATATCTCACGTGGAAATCAGAGCAGATTCTTACAAATTTCTCAATGGAGTTCCATCTGACCTCACCGCAAAATGCGATACAGTGTTTCCGCCAGAGTCGCGACACCTTCAATTCAGAACGGACTCGGACCTCCGTCGCCGCATTCGATTACGCTCGCGCCTCGCAGGAAAGATACGAGAACATATGCTAAGCAATGATTTCGATGAAATAGAGACACCTCTTTTGTTCAAGTCCACCCCAGAAGGCGCTCGGGAATTCATTGTCCCCACGAGAAAGAAGGGCTTGGCATACGCGTTACCACAAAGTCCGCAGCAATATAAACAGGTCCTCATGGCATCGGGAATCTGGAGGTACTTTCAATTTGCCAAATGTTTCCGGGATGAGGATCTGCGGGCCGACAGACAGCCCGAATTCACCCAGCTTGATCTCGAGATGGCCTTCGCCAGTAGTGCCGACGTGATGGCTGCGGTGGAAGATCTACTCATCCATGCAGTCTGGCCCAACGTGCCTGGAATCGCTCCTTTGCAAATGCCGTTGTCGACGGAGTTCGAGTTCGAATCGGTCGATCCGGAATATCGCAACCTGGCTTTTCCACAGCTCACATATACCGCTGCGATGACTCGGTTTGGTTCGGACAAGCCTGACACCCGGCTTGGGTCCGAAATTCATCGAGTGGATCATTGGCTCTCGCCCAATGTGAAGACCATGGTAACTTCGCATGACGATCCCGTCGTGGAAATGGTGAAAATTTGCATGCAGGGATGTGAACCAGCAGACAGCCAGAAATTTGTAACAACGTTTTTGGAAACGTCGCCGAAAGCGAGCTACACGAATGACAGCGCACGAATTCCCGGAGTGGCGGTCTTTGATCCCTTGAAACCGCTGCATGGATTGGCGAGCTTTGGCCATGAAGGCGCAGCCAAAGTGGAAGAAGAATTCGATCCCGAACCGGGCGACGTCCTGATTCTTTATAGCCGCGATGGGAAGCCGTTTACTGGTGGATCTACTGCTCTAGGAGACCTGCGTCGGGACATCTATCAGCACGCCATATCCGAAGGTCTAATCCCGTCACCTTCAGGATATTCTGCACTGTGGGTAACGGATTTTCCCTTGTTTTCGCCTACAGAAGACTCCGAGCCTGGACAGGGTGGGTCTGCTGGTATCTGCTCGACGCATCATCCATTCACGGCGCCTAAGCAAAATCAGGATCTATCGGTGTCCACATTCAAGAAGGATCCCTTATCCATTATCGGAGATCATTACGACCTCGTGATTAATGGGGTTGAGGTTGGTGGCGGCTCCTGTCGTATACACCGTGAATTTATGCAAGAATTCGTTCTCAGGGAGGTCCTGAAGATGGAATCTGAACGTGTGCAGGATTTTGGCCATCTACTAAGGGCGTTGCGCTCTGGCTGTCCGCCGCACGCAGGGTTTGCCCTGGGATTTGACCGGCTAATGGCCATGTTGACGAACAGTGCGACTGTACGAGATGTGATCGCGTTTCCAAAGTACGCAGACGGTGAAGACAAGTTCGCTGGGGCACCCTCACCGATAACCCAAGATCAGCTTGCGACCTATCATCTTGCTGCCGCCGATGACAAGGTTGCCCATGTAACAACTCCAAAATTGTCGCGCAAGGCGTAAAGCAGATTCCTTGAACATTTGTACAATGTCTATGTATCAATAGTTTGACCATCTGAAACAGTTAGCAAGTCTTTTGTCATATAAATAGAGCAACACAGTCTTCACTCGCCATCAGTCAATGCAAAAACCAAGGCTGAAGCCCCTAAGCTGTCACGTGACCCCATTATTTTCCTCGACACGAGAACGTCGGGCCACCCTGGCATCATAAACAAAACAGACTTCTCTCCCTCGAGTGTACTACAACCACCACCCGTGTCTTTCCAGTTCTGATTACTCCAATTTGTCAAGTCAAGTCGCATCGAATATTCACGATGGAGCAAGTCCAGGAGCTTGTCCTCAACCCTTTAAAACCCTACCTTATCCCAATCACTCACAACCTACCCGCTCCGATCAATGACCTTGCCATCAACCTCCTTGGCGAAAGCTGCCACAGCGCCCTCCTCCTTGACCTCGATTTCGCCTCCCATCCCGAATGCGTTTCCCTGGCCATATCGAAAGCCTTGGGCATTGTCATCATCACCGCGGCATCTGTCGTGAAAGTCCCCCAAATCATCAAACTCGTCAAGTCCCAATCCTCAGAGGGACTATCGTTCACAAGTTATTTGTTGGAAACAACCAGCTTCGTCATATCCCTGGCTTATAACATGCGCAATGGCTTTCCATTCAGCACATACGGCGAGACCGCACTTATCGCCATTCAAGATGTGGTGATTAGCGTGTTGATTCTGGTCTATTCGAAGAAGAGCGCGCAGGCGGGCGCCTTCCTAGCGGCTTTCGGTAGTGCCGTGTACGCGCTCATGGTCTCCGACACACTTGTTTCGAATGCACAAATGACCAGTCTGCAGGCGGGTGCTGGTGCCCTGAGCATCGCTAGCAAGCTGCCACAGATCCTCACAATCTATAGCCAGGGTGGAACAGGCCAGTTGTCTGCGTTTGCCGTCTTCAACTACCTGTTTGGCAGTCTCAGTCGAATCTACACTACAATTCAAGAAGTGGATGACAAGTTGATCTTGTACGGATTTATTGCCGGGTTTGCGTTGAACGCGGTTCTAGCAGCCCAGGTGGTCTACTATTGGAATAGTCCGACGACCGCAGGGCACGCAAAGGAGTTAGCCAAGAACGGACAGGGGGGACTCAAGGGTGTTGGACAAAAAGGGAGTGCCGCAACGGCCACTCAAGAGGCGGCTAGACTGAGTCCTGGCAAAGCCCAGGGCACTGCAAGACCGAGCAGCAGCAGCGGAAGAAGAAGAGGATGAGTAGCTTCATATGCTAAGGTGTCATCAGGCTCTCCCAGTAGCCTGGACGCAATTGAGTTGAAAGCGTCTTCCCGCGCCAGTTTTCCACACAGTCAGTGATGTCTATCATCTTTGATCCTGGACATGTTGTTGAGAAACAGAGTTTTTGCGTCTACAGCGTCATTCTTTCTAGAATCAGCCGACAAAATTTTATTGCGCTGGCCAGAAGCACCCTTCCGCCTTTTCAGGACCTATGTTGGCTGCCCAGCATCAGTGCCGTTCGGGCCACCTGAGCCTGACGATCCTTGTACTCCGTGAACTATTCCTGCTGAAGATGCGGTCTTCGCTGATCGCCGGGTGAATCAAAGGTACTTGTACTGGAGCACTAGAAGATATTATCGCCTTGACTTCGAAGCGAAGATGTGCAGTAACAAGATACCTATCCCTAGCTTGGATTACAGCCCTGGCATATAGACACTTCCACCAATCAGAGCGACCAATTCGCGGAGAGGGAGAGAGCTGTCCACGTTTGGCAGAGATGCATTGTTGGCATCGCGCATAACATCGTGGTCCATGTTTTCCTATTGGAAGGCTTTACTCGAGGTTCCAGTCTCGAATACGGCGCAACTCGCAATTATATTAATTACGCACTCGCGAAGTAACGTGCCCGCGTGGGTGTCGCAGTCACGTGGAAAGCCTGACAGGAGTGCCGAGTGCGGAGAAATATGCATGGGCTGGGCATGTTTGTGGGGTTTGTCCCAGGGACCGGCTGCGGTTATGGGTATGTGGTGATTGACACCTGCCACCGACCTCCCTCTCTACTCGACGTGTCTGAAATCCGAAACTGAGGCCTACAGGCTTTCTACGTCCCTGGTCAGTCGAGCAATCTTGAAGCCAACAGTCCATACCCTTGTCAAAGAGTCTCTCGACCGAGCATTTTGTTGCCGATAGGTGTTCGCACCATGTGCACCAGTGACGATGCAAACGGCCGCATCAGTGCATCGCGTAGGCTGCGTCCAATACATGAGAATCTTTCTTCCTGCTGATGGCTTGTGCCTAGTCTATTCCGGCCTGCAATCGCTGTCGGACGCGGAAAACACGCTGTGACACGGGTCGTCCACGCTGCGCCCCATGCGTCCGCTCAGAGTCTCCCTGCTTCTACTTCGACCCAGGTGCGAAAATCAATGTTCCTCGACAGTTTATCTGCGACCTAGAATCTCAGTTGGAGAAACTTCAACTTGAACATGACAGACTGCTTGCGGACGATTCAGTTCATGTCAGAGATGCAGAAAGCCTCCATTCGAAGACCTCCCATGATGGTGAAGGTTCGCCTGCTGAAGCGGCACAGCGCAATCGTGCCGTTTATCCCACCTTGGGAACCTCTAGCCAACATGCGCCTCGTGAACGTAGAATCGGAAGCATCCAAGCCGATTTGATCGATCTGGGAGGTGATCGAGGGGAAGCACACTATCTCGGAGACTCAAGCGGGTTACACATTGCACGAGCTGTACTGGAGACTGCTCGGCAAAACGACCCAAACTTGGATGCATTCTCTGTCCATGAGAGTCCACCACTTGCCAACGACACTTCATGTCCTACATTTAATGGGCCGGCGACTTTGCCAGGCTACGAAACCACCCAAGAGCTCACACGTATATTTTTCTCTCATTTCCAAGTTCAGTATCCGATCTTGGTCGAGGAGGAATTCTTACAAGAAGTTTTGAGTCTTTCCACCAGCCGACAGACCGGTGACCCTGGTGCTTCACGCGTGAAACCCCAATTCATGCTCACAATGGTGATTGCCATTTCTCTTTCCTGTCTCTCTAGGAGTAATTCCCACACAGCTGCTCTCGCAGAGAGTTATGCTAATAATGCACTGTTGGACCTCCCGGTAATTCTGCAAAGGAAGGACACACAAGTGTTGCAGTGTACTCTACTTTTGCTTCTCTACTCTTTGCTCACCCAGACCAAAACACCGACCTGGTATATTTCTGGACTCTGCACGAGGATGTGTGTGGACCTTGGGCTGCATAACGAAGATTCAATCCTGTCCCAGGATCCGGACTTTCAGACTGATACAAAAGATCGAGTGATCGATACAAAGAGACGTTTGTTCTGGGTCACTTATTCCTTCGACAGGACCTTGAGCACTATTCTCGGACGCCCATTTACTCTCCCCGAAAAGACAATCGATGTAGAGTACCCATGCTCGACCATATCAATCGATAAACGTGAGCAGGTGGTGCACTGGCTGCGTTTGCAGAGAATTCAGAGCCAGATGGTGCTGAAACTGTACGGACCGACAAAAACACAGCACCAAGGTAACGAGGGCGACCTCCATACCTGGGCCGGCGAAATATCCGCCAGCTTGGAAGACTGGCTGCAGACAAGTCGACGGCTGGAGAACGGCGGCCTTCAGGATTCAGACTGGTGGACTTACTGGTACTACAATACGCTCTTGTTCTTGAATCGACCATCTCCAAGCCGATATGAGTTCGACCCTAGCCAACTCGTCACTTGCCTTGCAGCGTGCAAAAATACTATCCAGCTCGCGTTCATTCGACATAATACAAAATTGACTGGCTTCACTTGGCTGGATCTCCAATATCAACTCTCAGCAGGAATCACTCTTCTGTTTGCCCTTCGGACTTGTTCGGACGTTCGTGTTGAGGCGAAGCGAGACTGGACCACAATAAAGAGCTGCTTAGTGCAATGGGAGAGTGTGCTCAATGAAATGATCAAGACGTGGCCAAAGGTCAGCCGCGCAAGGGATATTCTTGTCACTTTAGCGCAACAGACATCAGAAGTGATAGAGAGGGAGATGCGAGGTATTCCACAGTCTCGTTCCCGCAGGGCAGGCTCACAACCCTCTCAAAATTTACCGTCGGCAGCTATTGATACATGGTTGACATTGAACACTAGCAAATACGCGGCTGCCCAGCATAGGTCGGAAAGCGAATGGCGTGCTCCTAGAGCAGACTCGAATGGTATGCAATGCCTCCCAACTCTTCCAGAAGAGAGCTCAGGGGAGACCATGCGTCAACAAACTTCTGCTACGAATGATGAGACTGGCAGAGCATTTGGCACTAGAAGCTCGTTCTCAGGGCTGTCGACATCGAATACCCTATTTAACGCCAACAATCTTCTTGAGTCTGGTCACATGCAACCCGAAGAGTATCCATGGGACTGGAACAACTCATTGGAAATCCAGGACTCTTTCCAAGGGTTTGAGACTTTCGAGTACTTTGGAAACATTGGACGACTGTCATACGACGATATGGCCACCTTCGGTGACTTCGACCCCATGGAGCCTTTCCACATGGAGAGTGCCTTGAACTTTGAAGGCGATTTCGAGATGGCATAATGACAACACCTTCCCATGTTGCAACCCTCGAGATATCAGAAAGCAGTCCCGTCTGCGTGGTACGCTATCTAGCAGACTTCACATTAGTGATCTCCGAGATCAGTTCTTGCAGCTCATTGCGAGCACCATCCCGATCTCGATCTATGTCAACAAGATGCAATCCTGTCGGAGCCGAATGACGCCAGAACTGGACAACCTCGTTGGGCATGCGCGACTCCATCTCCTGAATCGTATCCTGGCTTTGTCTAATCTGCGGCCTTATAAGCAACTCTACAGCGGCCGTGCTCAACCTTTCGAATTTTTGAGCCAGAAGACGACCCTCCTCCCATCGATCTGAAAGCGATCTTAACATGAAGTTGACATCTGCAACTCCGCTCCACAGATCAAGTGACTGTAGTGAAGCCACGGTGCTGGCTTGTTCATGATTGCTTCCTGGCAGGTCGTCATCTACATCCTGAACATACCGCAATTGCCAGTAAGCATGGATGATTGCAAGGCCGACAGTGTAGACCTTTGCTGAGGCGATTTGTACATAAAAGATCTCATTTGCTTCCACCAATCCACGGTATGTCTTTGCGAAGCTGAGGGACGCATCCCACAGTTCCCGGAGGTCTTGTGGTGTCCTTTTTTGGATCGCACGACACGGCCGATAGAGGAGCATCATACCCTGCAACCACTCGCTCTTTAGCAGAATACGAGCATGTTCCGACATGGATATAGGGTTATTCCGAGCCCAATCCTGGAACTGCTCCAACAATTCAACCACCAACTCAGCAGGATTCTGCGGCCTCTCTGACATGTACAACTTTTCATATGCAAGTGATTGGAGTTTCAGGACATGATATCTTTGCCTATATCCCAAGATTTCGTCCTCGGTAGCTTCAGAGCCGATGCTGAAATTGGGCACATCCACGTGAATGACCTTGTCAGAGATTTCACAAGGGCGACCAGTGCCGAGGGAGATTGAGCGGTCAAATGAATACATGGACCAGAACAACCGACGTCTCGTCTCCAGCACACTGGCGCTTATCTGAAGGGATGAAGCACTGGGATCCTGGTGCAACCCGAGATCGACGCAGATGCGCATACCTACCCCAACCAAGTACCAGGCATTCAATTGTGACGGATTCAGAGTAGCATATTGAATGAGGAACAGGATTGCCTGTAACCCAGCTATTGTGTTCGGAAGGACTGCGTGCTCACGAAAGCGCAGGGCTGCCAGGAAGGTCTCAATCGCACTACGCGAGATCACAGAATCGACGTTGCGTGAGAGCGATGCTGTCGAGATAGCACAAACGACCAGGACAGTAAAATACGAATACCCGATGTTGGTTACTTTGTTCAGGCCATCTTCTGCCTCCTGGCCAGCTAGTCGAGGTGGGTTTTCGGCATGAGACGTGTCGTCCTGCACTGACGAGCCAGACATGGAGTCGTCATAGGCGAGCCTGAAATGTGTCCAGAAGCCCTGGACTGAGAAGAAGGGCAGGCGTGGATACACACGCGCGAAGTACTGGTTTGCCAACTTTCTGGCGGTTTCAACCCTTGGGAGGAGGGCGCGAATTTCGTCCAGCTGGTTCAGGTCGATAACTGAAGGCACAACGATTGACTCGGAGGCTGCCGCCAGGACGATGGTCGCCAGGTGCGGACCGTCAAGACAAGAAGGATCTGAAGATGAGGCAAGAATGGGCAAAGCCCCGATCTCGGATATGAGTCGGTCAATTTGCGACTTCTGGACCAGGCTGGGCCTGCCGCCCGGTTCAGAACCTATCGACGTCCATGTCAGTCACCGGGAACCTGATTATCATGGAAGTCTACAGGGCCACAGCATATACCAACGAACCTTGAATAGAAGCGGCCACCGACGATGGCATCAATCCGGCCGGACCATGTTGATCCTGCACCGGACCTCTTCGCAGAGCACTCTCTTGTTGCCTCGGGTTCCCGTCTTTATGGAGTGCAACCTGTAACCGACGAATGCGGGCCTGAAGGTAGGTAGCGTAGTCACGCTCAAACCCCTGTCCATCCTCGTTTAGCGAGCAGCTGGAGGCTCGTCCATACTTGCGGCAGCCACTACACGCAGGTAACTGCCCATCACACCGGATCTTTCGAGCTTTGCAGAACACACAGGCAGACTGCAGCTGTTTGACAGTGAGAGAAACGTGCGAAAGTGGATTGTGTGACGGGGGTGGCGATGAGCGACTGCTCGTATGGGAGTGTGCTTGCATTCTCTATGCAGCAGGTCGATCAATGTCATGAGTCAGGGGCACAGCCGATTAGGTGAGAGAAGAAGTGCCATCCATTGTGATAGTCTGAGAGTCTCCCCTCGAGCTGAAGTTCATCGAGTTCCCGTTGGAGTTTGTGAGATGCGCTCCAATGAATCCCAATCATGTGACTTGAAACTTTCGCCGTCAACCCTGCAACCCTCAGCAATGATCTCTACCCAACCCTGAAACTTTGCAAGCGATCGCTTCTTTTTCTTGCATCCTCGGCCGCTCTCGGAGACTCGCGTGGTGACACTTGAGTACCGTGGTATCCTGCCGAGAATGTAACTGACATGGTTCTAGGGAGACGGAACCGCCGATGCGGAACCGCCGAGCCCTTTCTCTCTACCCCTTCGTGAAGCTTGTGGCGGGAATGGACTCAGTAAGACACCAAATGGAGGTGCCGATTTATGATAGTGGAGCTCTAGTAGACGCTGGAACGCTCGGTGATGCGGACAAGCTTGAGAGCGGAAAGATGGAGGACATGTTGACAATATGAATATCTCGATACACTTCGCCCCAAGCATCAAGCCAGAAGCACGAAACGGGCTCTTGCGCGACTTGGAATATTGTCTACTCGTTTCTTGCTAAGCTTTACCACAGGTAAACTTGCTTCGAGCTTGCACGCACCCCAATATGGCTCCATCACGATTGTTGCCTGAGCTGGAATTGATTCGGGAACCAGCGACATCAAGCCGTGATTTCCGCCGAAAGGAGCTCAATGCTGACTTGTGTGTTTGCGGAGGCGGCCTTTCTGGTGTGTGCACCGCTGTCACGGCCGCCAGACAAGGACTTCGAGTGGTTCTACTTCAAGACAGACCAGTGTTGGGAGGAAATGCCTCGTCTGAAGTACGGCTATGGATCTTGGGGGCGACATCACATATGTTCAACAACAATCGATATGCTCGAGAGGGTGGCCTCGTTGACGAGATCCTTACCGAGAACATGTACCGGAACCCGGAGGGTAACCCGGTTATTCTCGACAGTCTGCTCCTGGACAAGGTTATCTCCGAGCCCAACATCGAACTGTTGCTCAATACCACATTGATAGGCTGTCAAAAGGATGGAGACAGAATTGAGCGTGCTCGGGCTTTCTCTTCCCAGACCTCCCTGGAATTCAATGTCAGGGCCGCTCTATTTGCAGATTGTACGGGAGACGGTGCTCTTTCGTTCCTGGCTGGGGCCCCCTTCAGAATTGGCGCAGAACTAAAGGAGGAATTTGGGGAGTTGTTTGCCCCTTCTTCCGAGTATGGTCATTTGCTTGGTCACTCAATTTATTTCTACTCGAAGGACACTGGCCGACCCGTCAAGTATGTGGCTCCTTCATATGCTCTTGTGGATATCGAGAGCGAAATCCCCAGGTACAAGACCTTCACTGTCAAAGAGATGGGCTGCCAGTTATGGTGGATTGAGTATGGAGGACGGCTGGATACGGTCCACGACACGGAAAAGATCAAGTGGGAACTGTGGCGAGTTGTATATGGGGTTTGGAACTACTTCAAGAACTCTGGGAAATTTCCACAAGCCGAGAACCTGACGCTGGAATGGGTGGGAATGATCCCAGGCAAAAGAGAGTCACGAAGGTTCATGGGCCCGTACACCATCAAGCAACAGGACATCATTGAACAACGCTATCATCCGGACGCAGTTTCTTATGGAGGATGGTCCATTGACCTGCACCCGGCGGACGGAGTCTTTTCTGAAATCGACGGCTGCACTCAGTGGCATTCAAAGGGCGTCTACCAAATCCCCCTGTCGAGTATGATTTGTTCGCAGATTCCGAACTTGTTGTATGGTGGCAGGATCATTTCAGCAACCCATGTCGCATTTGGATCGACTCGAGTCATGGCAACTTCGGGGAACAACGGGAACGCTTTGGGGATGGCAGCTGCTGTTTGCCAGAAACTCGGCGTCGATCCCGTTGCACTCTTACAGAAGGACAAGATCCAGTTACTGCAGCTCGAGTTGATGCGATCGGGGCAGTATATTCCTGGCTACAAGCTGAATGACCCGGTCGACTTTGTCAAAGGAGCTTGTCAGGTTACCGCATCTACGGAGTTCAAGCTGCACAAGCTTCCAGCAAATGGTTCGCCAAAGGTCCTGACGAGGAGTCTGGCTCAAATGTTGCCTCTCCCAAAGGGGCCAGTTCCGTCTTTCCAATTTACAGTAGAAGCTATCGAAGACACGAAGCTCACCGTGCAGCTGCGTGGATCCAAGAAACCATACAATTACACACCCGAGGTCATCCTCGGCGAAGAGACAATCCGCCTTACAAGTGGCAAGAATGACGTTCAAGTTGACTTCAAGGTTGAGAATCCGCACGATCAGTATGTCTTTCTCTGCTTGATGGAAAACGAGTCTGTCGCCGTGTCGACTACACTGGACAGGGTATCTGGAATAATGACTGTCGAACATGAATGCACACAGAGTCCACCAGCGGGAATTGGGATTGACGCTTTCGAACGATGGACTCCAGTCCGTCGACCGATGGGCCACAATATCGCGCTGACAGTGACACCTCCTGTCGAAGCATGGGCAGCTGAAAATGTACGAAACGGGGTTTCTCGCCCAACCAAGAGAGCGAACTCTTGGGTTCCTGCAGGTGGACAGGGCGAGGGTGAAGCGCAGATGTTGAGGATATATTGGGAGACGCCGGTCAAAATTGGTCGACTGGTGGTAAGCTTTGACACGGATTTCGACCATGGTTAGTACATTTTGTTAGTGATTGTTGTCGTGCGATGGCCTTGCTGAATCCTGTCTTAGCTATGGAATCTGTTCTGCGAGGACATCCGGAAAGCCGTATCCCTTTCTGTGTACGATCCTGGCGGGTGGTCGACCTCGCCCACCTCGACGCCGATGGTCAACCATCTACCCTCTATCGAGAAGACGACAACCATGTCACACGCCGCGAGATTGCTTTTGTGGAAGACGGGGCCAACGCTGGGCCTCTGACGAGCGCCATTGGGGTCGAAATCCTTGCTCTGAATGGAGGTGAGAACGTTCATGGTGGCATATTTGAGGTCCGTGCGTATGAGAATTGAATATGCGCTTGAAGGAGATCATACGGCTGGTCCATGTTGTACACAAGGTGATGGGGAGATAGGAGTGGATGTATTGTCGCTAGAGATACGGAAATACAACAGTGCCAGTTCTTTCTGTGAAGTCGCTTCTCCATCTTTTGTATTCCTGTCTATTTCTGCAGCTGAGTCGTATGAACCCGACACGGCGGCGTCATCTTCAACGCCCACATCTTGACCTGCCATTCCAACGACTTGCTCCCGCAGAAAAGAATCGTTGGAGCACCCGCCGTGTTGGCTAAGAGAGCATCTTTCGTAGTTTCTCCCTTTTCATGTCCTCCATCCTCTGCCACCGCCGCCGAAGATAGATCGTCTATCGTCATTCGTCCAAAAGTGAAGGACAGTGTCGCCGCCGATGGTCCTGATCTGCGAACCCGTGCCGCGATGTCGTCGCACTTTGGCCCAAGAGACACCACCGACTTCTGTTCGAACGCTTCGGCCCCGCTTGTGAGGAAGATGCGCATTGTCGTCCACTGGCAAGGATCGAGTAGACCCTGTTGCAGGAGATGGGACACGAGGTCGATGTCATCGGCGTGCAGAGACCACAGGAGGGCCCGTCTCATTCTGGTTCTCGTGTCGTCGCGGTCACAAGGGCTCAAGGGGGATGGGAGGAAAGCGCATATTCCTATCCCACCGGCGACGCAGACTAGACCGGAGGGGGGAGGAGGAGGAGGAGACAAGGTACAAGTACTGAGATGTCCAGGGGTGAAACCCCCACCGACACCGACGACTTGGATAGTCAGACTGCGAAATCGCGGAACACCAAGCAACCCCGTCACACTGCCGTTACGGGTGATGAAGACAACCGCCTCATCGCCAGCCTCCTGCTCATCTCCATACTCATGCTCGTCGTCCCGTCCAGATCTCGTTTTCCGACACGGAGGATTACATGGCGTCACTCGGATCCTCCGCCGTTCATCGTCCAGAGCCCTCTCGCCACCGATCAAATCCAGGCCTGCGGGGAGCTGGAGTTCGAGATACTGCGACGGACGCCATGAGAACTGGCCTTGGTCCTGTGGGAGGTGGTGGAAAGTGTGTTGCGATATTGTCGGAGTCAGAGGTCGCGTCGAGTGGTGAGTCAGGACGGCGTTACTAAAGGAACCCATTGAGAATGGCGAGAATGTCGTCTGCTCTCGCTCATCTCTGACTTACTCTTATCTGTCAAACAACAAATGAGCATTCTCGGCTGTATCGACATTCTCGCTCTTGGCCTTCTGCTGTTCTGATGGATGCCTCTGGATTCATCAGCTGCCTCATCAACCTCTGGCGTCTGTCACTCCACCATCTCAGACGGTTATGGCAGAGCAACTACAAGTCCAGGTGAGAGAGACGGAGCCTCCGACTCGTCGCCAATCCTTCTAGCTCGAGCGCTAGGCACCTCCGTCTTGGAAGCGTGAGCCATTCTCCTCCACAAAAACAGCGCTTGGGCTCGCTTCCCCACAATCCGCTCGACTCGACACGGGGATGGCGCCTGCTAACGTGTGGGAGACACCATTCGTGGTCCATTCCGATGCGAGCGTCGTCTTCTGCTCTCCTCTCGTCGTCCAGTAAACGAGCAGGAAGTGCCGAAGAGGAGAGGAAGCGAGAAAGGCTGGGAGGAAAGGGGACATGTTTGCTGATCGCTACATAAAACCCCCACCGTCTGTCTTCTTTGCATTGAGAGCAGACCGGGTTCAGTGATTGTCGAGGGTTGCTTCACCAGCCGCTGAACATACAGTGTGCCGACGCCTCATTCATTCTGGTCGCTGAGCATTGTTACAAAGGGTATTCTCCCTCACCAACATCTCCTCGGTTCCCAGCCAGGTTCTCGAGAATCATGGAGGCAACGACGACACCTCCGTCGCCCACGGCGAACTGGCGACTCTACTTGGCCGCGGCGTGGATGTCCCTCGGAGCCATATTTTGGGGGTGAGCGTCTATTTCTGAGCCTTGCCTTTCTGGTTTGCAATGCTTTGCTTGTCAAGATGCCGGACGTGCTAGGCTGACTGGTAGATGGCTCAAGCTATGACATTGGCATCATTTCAACCATATACGTCGCCCCCGGTTTCATCTCGTCACTGCACCACCCGTCGTCGAGCGAGACAGGACTGATTACGGCGATTTACTATGCTGGTATGTGACTTGTACTGTTTCCCGAATGATCTTGTCGTCCATCCTTTGCAATGTGTGTCTTCCAGGAGAAAAGCCGCTAATATGCCTGATGGCCCTAGGCTCTTGGACTGGCTACGCCTTCATCGCGGGCCCTGTTAACGAGAAATGCGGCCGTCGCTGGACCGGCTTCTGGGGTGTCTCAATCCTCTGCGTAGGAGCAGCCCTCCAAGCCGGCGCCGTGCACCTTTCCATGATGATTATCGGACGCATCATTGCGGGCCTCGGCACCAGTCTGGTCGCCTGCGCTGTGCCGTTGTATCTCAGCGAGATCAGTCCCGCGAGGACGCGAGGAGCCTTTGTCGCGTGCAACCAGATCGGCATCGTCGCCGGAATCAGCGTCGCGTTCTGGATAGGCTACGGCTTCAGCCACTGGACCACGGGCAGAGGAGTCGATCTTCAGTGGCGGTTGAGTGTCATCATGCAGTTTGTCCCTGCGGTGCTCTATCTCGCTCTGATACCCTTTTTTCCTGAGAGGTAAGGAGTCCTATGACACCGCGAAACTCGACCGTCCCCTAGGACTGCGAAGTACTTTGACTAACATCTTCCAACAGCCCTCGATGGCTCATGGAGCAAGATCGAGTCGACGACGCTGCCAAAGCCCTCGCTGCCCTGCGCGGGCACTCGTCGAACGTGGTGTCGATCCAATCCGAGCTCGATGAAATCCACGCCAACATCCTCTGGCACAAGACGCACTCTGTCAAATCCGCGCGGGTGCTCTTCACCGACCGGCCGCTGTTCGCACGGCTCTGGCGCGCATGGACGTTGAATTTCCTGCAGCAGATGAGCGGCGCCTCGGGGATCCGCTACTACTTGCCGTCAAATTTCAGTGCGGCCGGGACGTCCAAGGAGCTGAGTCTTCTGGCAAGCGGCATCGACGGCACGGTTCAGGTCGCATGTACAATCGTCGGGCTGTTGCTGATCGATCGTATCGGGAGGCGGTGGGCGCTGTCATCCAGCGCGGCGATTATGGCGTTCAGTTTGATGGTGAGTTTTGGCCGGGCATTCCTCGATCATATCTCCTTTTCTGGGATCTTGATTTGCTGTTTTTGTCGGATGTCGTCCAGAATGCCTATGCTGACAGCGCGGTGATGAATGCATAGATCAACGGCGCATTGCAGACGGCGTATCCGAACCAGATCAACAGTGCGGCCAACTACTGCAACATCTTTTTCATCTTCTTCTTCACTCTGGGCTACTCGATCGGCTCGGGTCCCGTAACCTGGATCTATTCGTCCGAGGTATGCCCATGCTCTCTCTTTCCCTGTCATTTATCTGACTACACAACCAACCAAAGAGGGTGGATATGATATGATATCCTAGCCTATCCTAGCCTATCCTAGCCTATCCTACCCTGTCCCCTCAACCCCCTATCTACAGCTCCCTCTTTCTCCCAGCGCCTGCCCTCCCTCAGAACTAATACAAAATCTCCCCTCAGATCTTCCCCGCCAACGTCCGCGCCTCGGGCCTCGGAATCGCCGCGTCCGGCCAATCCATCGGCGCCATCATCGTCGGCCAAGTCTGGCCCGTCGCGGTGCAAAACATCGGCGCCCGAACGTACTTCATCTTCATGGCCTTCAACCTCGTGTGCCTGGCGCTGGTGGTGCTCGCGTGTCCCGAGACGGCCAAGAAGTCGCTCGAGGAGATTGACTCGCATTTCGGGCGGATGAATGTGTTGGACGAGCGGGATCTGGGTGTGGGTGACAAGGAGATGGAGAAGGGGAGGGTAGGGTACGCAGAGACGGTCGAGGTCGCGGAGGCGGTGGGGGGGAAGAAGTGAGAAAGGATGTGAGAACCTAGTCTTCACAGGGGCTGACTCGCGTTTGCGGATGAAGGGGTCCCTTATTGAGCTCCTCGATCCTTGCCTTGGGAGTGAGTTTGTACGTACGTGACATTCAGTGAATCCAGGACACCGACAAACTTTGTTGGACATTTACCCTCTCCTGTGAGCTGTATTGCTATAATACTCTTGACATGAATCCGTGCTCAGCCGAGTTTCCTTCCTCCCTCCCTCTCTCCCTCGTACCCTTCCCTTTCGGCTACAATATCCGCACAGACAGCTGGCTGCATGGGTAGCTATGTAGCTATGTAGGTAGCATTGGTAGAGAAGATGGAAGAAGCAGCGGGCCAGCTCATTCGATTGGTGATAGATACCATGCATCGTGTGTTTATGTTATGTTGTATCATATTAAATCACCTAGTACTTAATACCTAGTACCTAGTCAACCGACCCAATACCCTTCTTGTAGCAAGTAAATAAAGTCAGTAATATGCGGTGGGTGGAAAAAGGACTTTAGCTTAGGTATGTATATGTATATATATCCAAAGAAAACCACACCCAAGCCCTTTCTTTTAGCCCTGGTGCCGTTGTGGCGGGCCTTCGTACTTTACAAAGTACATACGAGCCGCAAATTATCTTTCCTTGGCTAAATCCCAAAACCCTGGATCCTTGTTAGAGAAGGTCATCCATTCCAGTTCCCCAGGTAATGCCTCTCAATCTGCGCCACGATCGCCTCCGAGTCTTGTTCACGCTGCTGCTGCTGCTGCGTGGGGCTTAGAGGTGTCGGGTCCGACAAGGACCGGGCGGGCGGTTGTGGTTCAAAGGGCCGTGTCTCGGGTATTCTTGGTACAGGAGCCGTGAGAGGAGGTTGTGAAGGGGGAGGAGCGGGTGGTGGTGGTAGCGGATGAGAAGAAGCTGACACTGAAGCTGGACCTGGGAGCGGAAGTGGCTCGATCGCGTCCGGGTCAGGGTCTGGACTAGGCGGGGTCTGACCTTTTACGTTTGTCGACGACTCGTTCTTGTTGTTACGGGCATCTCCTCCTGGGACGCCAGAATCGATATTTTGGCTCTTGTTGTTGTTGTTGCCGTCGTCCCTCCTCCTGTAGTATTCCATGTCTCTCCCCAGCCCGCCAGAGGGCAGAAGGACAGACTCTTTGCGCGAGGCATCCACCCCTGCATTATCCCGCGCGTCGGTGGCCGTGATCTCGGTGCTCACAAAGGAACCATGCTTGACGGCCCCAGATCTCGGCGGCGTCGGCCCACTGGCGTCGGGGGACTCTTCATCCGGGGCGGGAAAGCTGCTGGGCGCGATGCCGTGCTTGATCAGGGCGAGCAGCTGGTTCAGCACGATGAACTCGAGCTTCAACTTGACGGCGTAGCAGAACGGGTGGATGACCACCTTGAGGGTGAACATGTCGTTGCAGTCGACCGTGATGAGGACAATGTCGAAGACGATGGCTACGGCCTGGGCGGTGATGAGCAGCTGCATGACGCGGTGGGTCTGGCGCGAGTAGATGTCCTTGAGAAAGTCGCGCGTGCACCAGATGTACATGAGCGAGATGATGGTCTCCTGGACGCTGAACCACACCACCTGGATCCGCTCCATGACCTTCATGGGCATGTACCAGACACCGGGGTGCGGGGAGGAGATGCCAAAGTCAAAAATGATGATGGGCGTGTGCAGGATGATGGCGTCGGTGACGATCATGGCGAGGACGGCGCGGCGAATGCGCCGGTCGTGCACCACGAGATTGAGCCGCGAATACAGCACGAGGGAGAAGCCGGTGACGTTGCCGACCCAGCCGATCTTGAAGATGATGCTCGAGATGATCCAGTTGCTCTCGTTGAAGAGCTTGAGGATGACGCCCAGGACGTGCAGCGCCACGCCCCATGTGCAGACCAGGAGGGACCAGAAATAGAGACCCTTGTGCCGCCGGAAGGTGAAAAACACCTGCAACGTCAACTCGACCGTCATCCAGATCGACACGGCACAGAACCCGGCCACCAGACAGTATACGGTTGGGTTCCATGGGATGGCCACCGGCTCGAGGGCCGGGTGTAGACTCCACTGGTCAGCACTCAGGGTCAGTAGATGCTTCACCCGGAAAGACGTCGCCTGGGAAGTGGTAGACAAGGACGGATAAAAACCCACATCGTATTGTGCCAGCGGGACAAAGT